ATTGTTAAAGTTGTAGATGCCACGAAAGTAGATCTCCTTATATTTATGGTTGAGTTCGAGACTTGGTCGTAATCGCATACCTGAATAACTGCTTGCTTCCTGATATTCGAATCCCTGAGAATTATCCCTGACCTAACGCCTTTCCACTATTGTTTACAACCGATTTTACTTTTGTTTTGCTTTGATATTATCGTGACATTTAAACCCCAACTTGAATCGCTTACATGAGATTTGTAATCCATAGAATTAGAGCGTATTGCTGGTCCCTTAACGAACCTCACTATTCTACATCGGATTAGTAATTCTAGGTTTTAATCTTGAAACCGGATAAAAGGATTAACATCACCAGATCCCGTGTTTTGTTTTCTTTTTATTTAAAACACACATGTTTTTTTTTAAATAAAAATTTTAAATTAATCAGACACGTTTTTTAAACGGGATTAACTAATTTTTAAACAGGGTTAAGATTCTGTTAACGGCGTCTACTATTCTGTTAAAATTATGGCGGCGCGTACACAAATACCATGTTGACGGTTTAAAATATTAACATTGCCATCTTGGAGGTTTAAAATGATAGTGATAAACCTTGGAGGTTTAAAGTGTAAGTGCTAGCCACCTTGAAGGTTTTTTATGCGATTTTCCCTAATATTTAGTAATGTTATTGTGAACGATTGCAAGCTAAAAATTTATGTTTTAGTTAAAAAGATATTTTTTTAGGAAAAAAAAAAATTTATAAGATATGAGTTTCAGTTAGATTGTGAAGTAGTACAAAAAATGCGTGAAACTCTGGGTTTAAAGGAAAATCGAATATGCGAAGGAAGGTCGCAGAGCTACTGGATGATCTATCACTGGACTGGAACAGAGAGAAGGTGGAAGAGACCCTTCCTAGCCTTGCTCACCATATCTTCAGCCTGAGACCAAGCAAAACAGGGTGAGAAGACAGGTTTTGCTGGATTCCGAGCTCATCAGGCGAATATACGGCTCTATCCGGTTACTACATTGCGGAGGCACGTAATACACAAGATGAAGAACCGATCCAACCCACCATATATAGCCTCCGGTTTTGAAATGTTGTGAATGACAAATTGTTGATGTTGCTACCAATGGAATTCCAAGATCGATTGCAAAAAGTGTAACTAGAGATGGTTGGTTTCATTCTTACATGGCACTTGGAAAACTGTCTTAGCTCCATGATCAAGTGAAGAATATGAAACTCATCGTGAAGAGTTTTTTGTTCCGTCTCTCGTATTTTTAATGGTTTCTTTTGCCTTTATCTTCCTCTGGTTTTGAACTATCATGTTACTGTTGGAAAG